TCTTCTCTCTCTCTCTCTCTCTCTCTCTCTCTCTCTCTCTCTCTCTCTCTCTCTCCTTCGGTCTTCTTTTTCTCTCAAGGGATGGAAATGAAAAAGTCTTCACTTTTTTCTATTTTATGTTTTGGCCCCATATTTCCAAATTATTATCGATTTATACCCATCATTAATTTTTGTTACCAGGGCTTTTAAACCTTTGCAGTAGTGATTCAGTGAACAATGAACATGATTATGTTCATGTTATGATTACATCTCGTACTGAGATTTTTCAGATCCAGATCCGACAATATAATTCTTCATCCATCAGAATGTGTTTTCCAGGATGTCGTGGAGAAGAACAGATGAAGGATCATACCGAGAACTCGATACTTCTGATTATCAATGAGCTGGACAATGGCCCCGACAAAACACAAGCTTACTCATACAACAAAAATGTCGGGGGAATCCGAGTTAAGGTTTTCCCTACCATCTACGGAGAAACTACCGTCGTATCCGAGGTTAGGCCCATAATTTACATACATACTACTGTAATAATCCCCGGATGAATCCATGACAGTGTTGCTGTAACTCTTCTCCTCGGGGAAAAACCGGGTTTCGGGTTTGGTACCTGAGAACATTCTGCAGGCGACAGTGTTGTGTGGAGACATTTCCATGGGGTACAGGTTGTTGAAGATGGAGAAGGGCGAGTCGGGATTACAGGCTTCTGTGTAATCTATGGTGCTGAAGGAATCTCTGGTGGACTCCGTCGTGAAGGAAGCCTCGTCCGAGCTTGTGAACAGAGACCAGTCATCTGAGAACTCCCCGAGATCTGGTCTCGGTCTAAGCTGGTTGCGATCTGAAGTGCCAACGAAGTGGTTGTTCGGTTTCTTCCCTTCTTGTGTTTGGTTTCGGGTCTGGCAATGCCTGACCTGAGTTTTTCTGCTATGTTCTGTCCTCTGAGGACGGGGATGCGATCTGAAAACAAAGTTCAAGAACAAGAATTCATTACCCGAGTTGGAAAACCATTCTAACTCGGGACTCGGTCCCCTGAACAGATTATTTACCTCATGTAGAACAACATATACGCTCCTTCTGACATCACCTGGCTCATGGGCACTGGATGAATCTGCAAATCAAGAAATGTCGGAAAAAAAATTGTTCAAGAACGTTATGATTCTTGTCACCTGCTCCCTCGAAAATGTTGGATGTTTCGGTTAATTCAACCTAAAGCTCATTCGGCACAGCTGCAGAAGAAGAGAATCGCCAGAAGGGACTCACCTCAGAGTCATCTATTCTGAACCAGTTGCCCCGTAAATCTTTGACATATGATATGTAATGCCCGGAAAAAGATGCATTCAGTGTATCCAAGTGAACCACAACCGCATAAAGCATGTAGAGCGGAGGGATATCTCCCGTCCCTGTCATGAACGGAGTCATATCCAGCATCTCGGGAAAAGTTATACACTTGTTTATTTTCCCGTATCTTCCTTCCTGCACTCGGAGCAACACGCATAAGATAACGAGTAATGAGTACCAAGAGCAATGAACTAAGGCAGATGGATCCTGCGATAACTTCCTATTGAATTCTCGATACCAAATACCAAATTTCAGGAGATTAAAATATATGCAAAAAGTTCAAGGGCTGCCCATTTCGGTATTGCCCACCGGTAAATATGATGATACCTGGAATCTCTTCAGAACAATTGTGAGAATGTTTGGCGCCTCATGTATGCTCAATTGTTTCCTCGCCCGGACATATTCAGCACACCTTTTTATGGAGAATGTATCACACAATAGTCAATTACAATTGGTTTCTTCATTACAAAGGATAAAACAGAGTTGTTCATCATCATCATCTAACCTGCTGCATCTGTACATATTTTCTCCATCGAGGTCTTCGGGTGTAGTGAACTGAGTGAATGCGTCTTGGAGCGACTCAACCCATCCGTATATCTCTAACGTCAGATCCATTATACTCTCGTATCTTTCTGACTCATGATGGCACCTCAAGCATTTGACCTTATATAGGATAGAAAGAGGAAACATAACGAAAAGCCCGAAATATAAACCAGATATCAGATTCAGGAAGATTCCGAATGTAGACACCTTTGAACGGAGACGCCCACCGAAAGTATGCTGAACAAATGTTGTTTCCTGCGATCTCGGGTCCACTTTACTCTCGCCGCCAAGTCTTTCCAAGCATATGGATTGCATAGAAGCAACCAAAAGCCTGCATTTTGAAGCCATATTTTGATTAATAGACTATTTCCTGAGAAGCATCATGTTCATTGCTGAATGGAACAACAAAGAAGAAAAGAATTGCATCCTGAAATCGAATTAGGATTCAAGCAGAAACCCAGATGATAAATAATGGAAACCTTAAAAACTCATGAGCATCTTCCTGACTTCCATCACCAATCTGGCAATTTATACTCCGCATATGAGAGAGAATTCGGCTAGCCGAAAGCGGGCCACCGATTTCTCTAAGCATCATCACGTGTTGTTCGAGTTCACACATAAGACACCAATCTTTCCGACAACCTGTCACAGATAATAACATAATATAAGCCAGATAATCAGACATGTAGTAGAAAGAGTCTAAGAGAAAGCTTTTGCTACGAGAAGTGTGAGAAGCAGTACATGTTCTTGAATGCAATCGCCGAAGCAGAAAAGCAACAAGCGGTTTCGTACACGTTAAGGACTGCAAGACTGCATTTGCATAGCAGCTGAAGAAGAAAGATGTAGTCAATATAAAAAGAACACAACAAACAGATATATATATATATATATATATATATATATATATATACCAGCTGTGATACTCTATACTGGATAGAGTGTCTTTTTTATCTAACACTCTAAAATATTCAATTTTCTTAACAAGAAGCAATCCTCAAATGCTACATCAAACAAAACAAAAAGAAGAAATGGCCCATTACCTGTTTCCACAATTTACAAGGCCCCTAGGCGATAGGTCAAACACGTCGGACTGAAAGAACTTAACGAATTCCTCGTAGGGAAAAAGCATCTGAAAAGAGTTGAAGAAAATGAATTAATGCCACTTATAAAATGAGAGAAAATGGAGAAGAAAATAATAACTTGCAGCCCACAAAAGAAATACAGAGAGAAGGAAAATCACTGGGAAACTAACTTTCAGCTTCTTGTGTCTATCATCATACTGTTCGGCAGTATTATGTCTAGTAAGCTTTGTAGACTTTCTTAAACCCATCATCTTCATAATACCCATTGTTGAGATATCATTGTTTTCTTCAGCAGCACCAATGTCCTTATCTTTACTAGTCTCTGCATAACAGATAAAACACTGAGACACCGAAAATAGCTCTTATATCAAAAGATAGGTTCTTCAACAAGCTTACTTGATTCCTCAGCCATTGTTCCCTTCTTGCTTGTCTCTGTACAAGGATGTTCACCACCGGACTTTTTGACACCTGATTTGGGCAATTTAGCAGTTCTGGCCCCTATTTAATTCAAGGGACGGATTAAAAACTTGAAAAACCAAACCGAAGTTGTCTCCAAACAGAATAAATTTCATTTCTCTGACAGCTAAAATTATTTGCCTTGCCTGTCCAAGAACATAATGTTTATATTATGTACATTCAGTAACAGGTTTTTATTCTTTTATACCCACCTTTTGCATGGCATTGTGTGCTTGAACACCCAAACGAGCTTCTTGCCTCTGCCCTGTTATGATCTGAGTTGTGTTGTTTTACATTTTCCTGCACACTACACCTTGCAAAAGACTGTTCGTTCATCCTTGTACAAGAGCTGCTGGCAGCATGCCTTGTAGAATTTTCTTCCACGAGAAAGCTGTTGTTATTTTTCATCTGCAGGAAAAATTTGCAATGGCTAAAATTCCAGGTGCAGTTTAATGAATTTAACCAACAATTCAAGCATGCACTTGGTTTCCACGCCAGAAATACCAAAAAGTTTTGATCATGCTAATAAAAAGGCACAGACAGCATGACGTAGACCGTTCTGAATCTTTGTTTTGTCCCAAGGAAAAGGACTCCAAAAAAATCTGTTTGATTGCAATATCTTAACAGAGTACTTGGTCACCAGGCTAAAGTGTTATCGTCCAAAACTTTTACGATTTTTAACTAATTTAACCCATAGAACTACACTTTCTGATGGCTCAAAAGGTTTAGACTTGGTTTGAAACAGATGGCAGTTCAAATACCTACTTCCTGTTCTGCAATTTTTTTTTATTTTTTTATTTTTGCAAAGAGATGCATATTTGAGGACAACTTGCCTTATGCTTATTGTGAACCTTCTTCAATGTGTTGTTGTCGTCACCACAACCTAAAAAGGAGGTCTCTCCCCAAGAAGCTTCTTCAGAGGAATCAAGCACAAGACCCTTGTTTGTTCTAGATGATCCTCGGGTGGGCTTGCCAGAATTTCGTTTTTCTGCACTTCTTTCTTGCATGAAGACTTGAGAACCATTACCACCCTGGGGGCCACCCAAGCTCGAGAACTCTACAGTATTTTTGGGAGGATGTACTCCATTATCCAATTCCAAAGCCGTCTTCCCCCTCACAGCCTGCTTACCACCATAACTGTACGAGGAAGAATCCATGCCATAGGCATGCAAAACAGAATCTTCCTTAGGAACAACCTTCTCCGATGAGGCTGAGCAGGTTTCAACAGGGACACATTCATCCTTATGAGCTTGCCTCCAATGAATTATTTGGCACTTCCCAGAGCTACAGATAGTCAAAAGAAAAAGAAAAGTGAACTCATAGAGGACACTTCAAACAGCGGGTTTAACTCTTAAACAAAATACAACTACAAGCAAGTGAATACAATTTAGGTGCAAAAGAATACGCTTTTGTATCGAAAAGTAAGAAATTTACCAATATCTAACAGACTTGCATCTCGAGCACCGTGTTGTAGCTGGACTAAAACACCTCGCACATGCATGTAACCCATTATTCTTGGAAGGAAAAACAACTGGGGCACCACTTGGAACAGCTACAGTCTCAGATTTTAGAGCTTCTTCAGCCGCCATCTGAGCGAGCACGTTCAGCTTCCCCCTCCTCTCTGAAGCTTCACTCCATTTTCCTAATAGGATGTAAGCTACAACAGGAAGTACAACCAAGACCAGGAACAATATGGGTATATCAGCTTCCTTTGGTTCAAGCATGACACCAGCCACGCATTCATGACCTGGTCACAGCTAAAATTCACAGCCTGAGAAAGTCTGTTCAAACTACAGAAGCTCAGCTAGTCATAAATATTAAAATCAGTATCATGATACTGCAGCGAAAGGCCAGGCTCAGGTCGTCAGGCCACTTGATTACTTGTAAGATGGATAACGCTGCAATTGAAGATATCAACAGAATAAGTTTGATTTTCAATATGAAAACATTACTTTCTAAATGTGATGTGGAAAGTAAGAATAATAGACTGTTCTTAAACTGCAACTTTGACAAACAATGCTTCAGAACACTCGGAAGAATTTCACAAAACAACAGATGTAAAACATAATCAAACCACTGCTTCAGACTCAATACAACTAGTGTAAGAAAAACATGACAATGTAACAGAAATCAGCCAGAGTAAACAGTATGACAGGAGGAGAGAAGCATATCTAGTTCTTTTGCCATTTTCATACTCACAAAGACATAACGTTTCCACATTGTTCAACTGATAAAACATTTCCTCATATTTATCTGAACATAATATAATCATAAGTATAAGTAGGAACCCCCAGTTGATTAAACTTATAATTCATGGAAACGACCAACTATGAAGGTGCAAAGCAATCTTATCTATGGGCAAGCTTTGAAGTAACCACTAAGAAAAAGGAATAAAGTCTCACGAATACAAACAAGCCATAGTGACAAGACAGAATCCGAGACAGAAACCTATCTCCTAGAACTTTGCCAAATGCTTAACAGCATCTCCATATAAAGAGAACTGTCAATATACCAAAATCGACATTAATTGACACCTAATCGCTGCATCATGTTCCCACTAGAAAAACACACACTTTTCTGGCACCCGTCTGTGGCTATATACTCGTATAATCTCAAAATGCCTGTGTAGCAAAGACAATCAGACCTAATCTCTCCATAGTCCAAGAAACAAATTATGTTACCCATGGGAGACCCAGCTCCACTAAATCCCGATTCAATGTTTTATGGAGAACACTGACTACTATGAGTTGTAAAAACAGGAGATGAGTTGCAAATCTACCACATGGAGGCACAAAAGGAATTTTTAACAATGAACATGTCTCTGTAGCACTCGCAGTTCGAACATTATACATTTCCTCAGCAATGAAAGGAAGCCAAATCAAGTGCAGAACAAGCACATTTTCAACGAAGCCGCACAAATTTAGTCCTAAAGGAACTCCAGAACAATCACACGAAACCTCCTGCTTAGACGAATCTAACCATTAATCCGACCTCCATTAAAGCCCCCATTGGTTTCACATCAAAGATTTCAGTACCCGAGAGAACCCTCGACACCAGTACAAGAAAAAACTTCACTTTACTAAAATTGGAAGAGAACCCAGATGAAAAAATCATAGATTTTCAAGAATTTCTCGCATGACGTACCTGGCCAAGCTAGACGAAGAAACCCCAAGAGAGTCCAAGAGGAAAAGAAACCCTAAATTTTAGCCCAAATCTTGTTTTCCCCCCTAACCTCAGCCTCTTCTTTGGTCTTCGCTCAGGCTCGAAAAAAGATTCTTTGATTCCAGAGATGGGTAAGACACGAACAGAACAGACACTTTGTCTCTCTCTCTCTCGCTTTCTCCCCTCAGTCCTGTATTGACTGTACTCTTCGTTTTCACACCAACATAAACACTCTCCTCTGCCTCTATTCTACTTTTAGGATGGTGTAATTTTTTTTTTAAAATCTCAATATGATATCCATTTTATATTAGGAACGTTTACTATATCTACATCTATAACTATATATATATATATATATATATATATATACCAGCTAGATTTTGTAAATGTATGTTTTTATGGAAAAAGTATTTATAAATGTTAGTGAAGAAAATAACACACTCATTCATTAATAGGAGGAGAAAAAGTAATATTGGGTGGCTAACAATTAAAAAGAGAAAATTGTTTTAAGTACAATTATAATATCTCCATTTTTAAAACAAAATCAAATCGAATTAAATGATGATATTTCTATTCATTTTGACTATTGTTAGAATAATTCAATCACTTCTGAAAGTACAATAATTTCTTTAAATTTGATTGGAAAATTTTGTTAACTATAAAACATTAATGATAATTTAGAATTAGAGTAAACAAGAAACGTAAAAATCATATTCTGTTTTTCAAAAATGATTTTTTGAAATATAAAAAAGGAAATATTTTTACTGAAAAGAAGCACCTTGTGGCTTGTTGGTTCCTAAAAACTCCATTGACTCTTAAAAAATAATTTTTGAAAAGTTAAGTTATTTTTTTTATCATAGATATTATGTATTTGTAATAGAAAATTTATTTTGAGTACCATATATATAGATCCTAAAATCTAGGAAATATATAGGTTAAGGAGATTTATTCCCAATAATTAATCCTGAAATATACCGGACAAATTAAAAATGTATGAAAATAACTATTGAAGTAAATATATAAAGACACTCATTTACATTTCGTTTCTTTCCATCACAAACTCGTTCACTTATTTACTAACATTTATTTTGTCTTAACCAGCAGTTATTTAAAAAAATCAAGCCTAATATTAAAAGATAAAAATATTTTCTTTATGAGAATAAAATTATTATACAATTTAATAAATACGTGATTTTCGGACCCATATTATATTGTAATCAATAAATCAACACTAATTAAAAAAAAACTTACTATAGATGTAGTTTTCCTTCTTTCTATATATAACGTGGCGTAATCGCCCATCCAAATCCGCCACTTGCCGTAATATCACTCGATCAGGGCTTCACCTATAGATGGGACCCACATGTCAGCACCTTTGCGAGTGGCGGAGATCGAATCTAGACCGTTAGATCTTGAATAGTCAAAGTAATGGGACCCACCTTCGAGGTGTACTGTCGACCTTTACTCAGGTGATGCTGCACCTCGAGCAGCAGTGAACAATCGACATCAGTGAAGAGATTAATAGTGTAATTAAATTATAATCATTATATATTAGTATGTTACATCTCATCTCATCTCATCATAGTAGTATAATTATATTATGATGATCATATGTTATATATATTACTAGGGAGATTACAGATAAGGTTGATGGTCTTTTGCATGGATACAACTATTATTCTCTTTCATGTCCATCTTCATCATCATCATCTTCTTCTTCTTGTCGATGACGTGCCCTCCACGCAAGCTACTAACCAACCAGGTTTTCCTGTCTGAAACACGATGTACCCCATGCCTAAACCGAACACGGTTCCACATCCATACCCCATTAGAACCACTCTCCAATCCAGTTCAAACTCAGTGTCTTCCTCGTCTTCGTCAGTGTCCATCCCTTGATGTCTTCCTCCTCCTTTGTCACCACCTCCGCAAGGGTTCGGCAATGGCGATCCGCATAAACCCATATTTCCTTCGAAGGAACTGGCCTGGAATGTGTTGAACTGCTTCCCTTCTGGGATTGGTCCAGTGAGCAAGTTCTGAGAAAGGTTCAAGAATGACAGTGAATTGATGTCGGCCAATTGCTTCGGGATCATCCCTGTGAGTTTGTTTGAAGAGAGATCTAGCCATTCAAGCTTGGTCAGGTTCCCGGCTGATGTCGGGATTTCACCGACAAGATCGTTGTGTGAAACGTTGAGTCCTCTGAGAAAACTGAGCCTCCCTATGCCTGCTGGTATCTCGCCATGGAAGTTGTTGCTCGATAGATCGATGCTTGTGAAGATGGATAGTATCTTCATCATCTCGAACCTGAACCCTTTTATATTCACACTGACGGAATAGTTGTAGGAGAAGTTTCCTTCGTTCAGGTAATGCAGATCGCTCTGACTTTCCTCGTCAAGATTCATCATTGCCTTGAGATTCTCAACGTACCTTGTCGGAAAAGGACCGTCGAAGTTATTGTTGGAGAGGTCGAGAATTCTAAGGTTGGGGAAAGGTGAGACTGTTTTAGGAACCGCTACAGAGCCATTGAACCGGTTGGATCGCAAGACGAGAACTTTTAGCTTCTGTAAGGAATCCAACCATGATGGGAAACTGCCATTGATTCCATTGTTGCCAACATCAAGAACTTCCAGGTCTCTGCAGTTGGATATGGATTCTGGCAACAACCCTTGTAACTGGTTCCCGTTGAGGTTTATGTTTTTCAGTTTACACAACTTCGGAAGCGTTGTCGGGATGAAACCACGGAAGTTGTTCATCCGAAGATCCAACACCGAAAGGCTCGAGCTGGAGTTCAGAAGACAACCTGGAATGCTACCACTCAACATGTTTTGAGAAAGATCAAGAATTTCTAGAGATGGCAAATCACAAATCTGAGAAGGTATTTCGCCTGTAAGACTGTTTCTAGAGACTGAGAAGAAAGTTGCGGTGAGTGGAGGAATCGGAACCGAACCCTGAAGAGAGTTTGACCCAAGATTAAGGTACCCGAGCATTCTCCATCGGAAGGGTTGTTCAAAACTCGTCAATAAGTTCTGAGAAAGATCCAATGAGTAAAAAGAATTCTTACCCACATCCATAACCCAATCAGGAATCTGCCCGTGAATGTTGTTTTTGGACAGATCCAAGCTGTTCAAGTTCACGAGGGCTTTGATGAAACTGGGGAACTCAGTTATGTTGCATGAGGACAAGTAGACAAGCAGCAGTTCGGGTAAGACGAAATCCACTTCAACGGCTCTGCTCGTCACAGAGAGATGATCATACGAGAGATCAAGAACAAACAACTTCTTGAGATCAGAGAACATCATCAGATCAACAACGCCTGTGAAGTTGTTTGATGACAGGAAAAGACCTCGAAGTTGCTCGAGTTCAGAGATGGAGGACGGAACTGAGCCTTCGAGGAAATTAGTGTTGACATCAAAGATCATCAAAGATTTGGACTGGAACCCTCCTAGATGACCGACAAGTCTGTTCCTGAAGAGGTACAGGAACTGAAGTGAAGGCGACCGGTACAACCAAGATGGTATTGTTCCATTGAACAAGTTATCTGACAAGTCGAGTTCAGACAGGTGCAAGGGTGCATCCACAATGTCGGGAATAGTACCCTCTAACTGGTTACCTCCAACGTCCAGATATTCTATGAAGGGAAGTGCAAACAGCGAAGGTAACAACCTCCCGGTTAGGATGTTCTCACCAATAGACAGAAACACCAACTTGTCGAGATTCCCAAGAAACTCGGGGATTTCACCGGTGAGATTGTTGTAAGAAAGATCCAAGTGGTTGAGCTGTTCAAGATCTGCGAGAGCCGACGAGATTTCACCTGTAAGCATGTTTCTTGACAAGTCCAAGTAAGCAAGCTTCTTGAGGTTCTTGATACTTTCAGGGATCGACCCTGATAAGATGCAGTTGCAGAGACTCAGATGGTTCAGAGAGGTTAACCCTCCGACCGACTCGGGTATTTCCCCGGACATGAGTGTGAAAGACAGGTCCATGTGCTCGATTGAGCTGTTCCATTTTGACTTTGGTAAGCTAAGTTTCAGATCATTGTTCGAGAACAGATTCAACATCTTCAGGTTTGGTAAATGTAAGATATCAACAGGGAGGTGACCGCTCAGCTCACAGTTACTAAGACTGAGCCAAGTAAGAGAAGGAAAGGAAGCCGACAGGTTCATCAGTAGGGTGGTTGGAACTAAGGACATATTGATTCCATCAAGAAGAAGCTCACTCACTTCTCTCAGGTTACGAACAAACGATCCCATGGCCGGGCCGTCAAGGGACAGAACCAAGGGACTGTAATGAGAGGAAGAGAGATCAAGGGAAACTATGTTGGACAAACCAGAGATTTCAGAAGGAACTGAACCAGAAAACCTAGAATTCGAGAGGTTCAGATGGGTCAAACCGGTTAAACGACCCAATCTTGGAAAGGTTGAAGTCATTGAAAGCGAGGTTGAGACTCTGAAGCCTCGGAAGTTGTCCGAGCAAAGCAACGGTTGAATCAGAGAAACCGCCATGGAAGTGGCCACAGCTCAAGTCAAGCCCTGTGACGTCTCCGGTCCGTGGCATGCACGTGACACCTGTTGAAGACTCTGATACAACATACGAGGATGAAGCGATAGAAGACCAGATTTGGAAGCTGAACAAAAACAGAGCCGAAGATGACCAGAAGCTGAACAAGGACAGATTGCGAGAGAATCCAGCTGAATATCAATCTGTGCCGATGCGTATCACTGACACATTCAGATTGGCTCCACTCACGACAGATAAGGCATGATCTAATATATTCATCAGATTATTGGGAGACAATTAACATGCAGAATCAAGCACATTTCCTTTCTTATATTTGGTAATTTCAAGTTACCTTAAACATATTGTATTGCTTTCCTTTTCTTCTAAGTATGTATAGTCTATAAGAAACAAATCCTCTGTATATTCATAGGTAAGGGAATAAAGTGAATTGGTTTTTCTTATTCACCCCCTAAAGAACCCTAATTTGTCCTTCTCTACAGAACTTCCATTTCGTCTCTGTTACAATCTATCATTTGTACTCATAAACTTCTTTATGGTATCAGAGCCCACGATCCGAAACCCATTCTGAAAATTCCGTCTCTCGATCACTGTCGCAGTTCTGTAGCAATGGAGAATCAGACCAAACTCATTCCAATTGTTCTCACAGGGGACAATTATTTTTACTGGGCTAAAGCATCAACTGCAGCCTTACACAGCAAAGGGCTGTGGCATCATGTTGTCAACGCAAAGGAGACTCCCCCACAGATTGTGGCTACAGAAGGAGAAAATCCAGAACAAGTTGCAGTTCGACAACAACAAGCCAACCTCGTTTTCAACACCAAGTGGAAGCAAGAAGACAGCCAAGCGCTTGTGATTCTTCAAAGCTCCCTTGAATCCAGTATTCTGCAATCTTTTATCTCAAACGATACTGCAAAATCGTTATGGGATGCCTTGCAAAGTGTTTATGGAAATCTCTCGAATATTAGCAGAATATTCGAGATCAAGAAGAAGATCTTTCATCTACAACAAAATGATCAGCCCTTCCACAAAATTCAAGGTGAATTTTGTGCTTTATGGGCAGAGCTTGAAGAGATTAGACCGACTTCCCCTGATCCGCAGGTTATCATGGAACGTGCGAAAGAAGATAAGGTGTTCTCTATACTTCTTACTCTTAACCCGACGTTTAATGACTTGGTTTATCACCTACTTCGTCAATCACAACTCCCATCCTTTGAGGAAGTTTGCATGATGGTTAAGCGAGAAGAGGGTGGCAGAAATCTCTTCACTAGCCCGCAAGAAATTGCCCATTATTCCCGCAAGCAACCTGTGACAAATCCGAGAGATCGGCATACCAAAGAGAGATGTTGGCTTCTGAATCCTCACTTGAAACCAGCAAAATTTAAAGATGCTCCTCGGCGTGGTACAGCCTTCACAGCAGGTCATGACACACCATCAACCGAGAATTTGATCAATCTCACGAGTGAAGAGTTAAAAGGGCTCAAACATCTTCTCCAATCCCTAAATAAAGATACCGGTAATCTCTGTTTCGATCCATCTATTGTCATTGACAGTGGGGCTACTACCCACATGTTTAAAGATTCAAATTTGTTGTCAAACCTTAAACCAAGTCATGGGACTATATCTGTTGCGGATGGCAACACGGTTTCTGTCCAAGGTTATGGCTTGTTTCGTTTGTCCGACAAACAACTTTCGGCTCTCTATGTCCCGGACTTTCAAGTTAATCTATTATCTATCCCTAAAATAATTGCAGAAACTGATTGCACTGTTATTTTCGAAGCTGATCGTGTTGTTTTCCAGGATACTAAGACGGACCGTGTCATTGCTACGGGATTTCGGAAGGGCAATCTCTATTTTCTCACTCTGCCACACTCTAGTTACCTCTCCGTTTCCTCGAACGTTTGGCATGCACGTTTAGGACATCCACACAAGAAAGTTTTAAGTTTACTTATTCCTGAAGCTAAACATTTTGAACATTTTTGTGATGCTTGTATTCTTGGGAAACATTGTCGTACTGTTTTTCCGGTTTCGACTACGGTTTATGACAATATATTTGATTTGGTTCACTCGGATGTTTGGACTGCGCCTTGTTATTCACGTGATCATTTTAAGTATTTTGTTACCTTTATCGATGAAAAATCCAAATATACATGGATTATACTTTTAAAGAAAAAAAGTGATGTCTATCTTGCTTTCAAAAATTTTTCCGCTCTTATAACTAACCAATTTCAGAAGAAGATCAAATGCCTACGCACGGATGGCGGTGGAGAATATATGAGCAACGCTTTCCGAGAATACTTACTAGAAAATGGGATTATTCATCAACGTTCGTGTCCACACACGCCACAACAAAACGGCGTTGCGGAACGCAAGAACCGTCACCTCATGGAAGTAGCTCGGACGTTGTTGTTTCATCGGAATGTCCCCAAAAATTACTGGAGTGATGCTGTAAAGATGGCTTGCTATCTCATTAACCGTCTCCCGACACAAGTTCTCGCGGACAAATCTCCTTTTGAGGTACTCTACAACCGAATGGATAATATTGACCACTTACGTGTTTTCGGTTGTGTGTGTTATGTGCATTTAGATGAAAGCCAACGCAGCAAACTCGATCCGAGGAGTATACGATGTATTTTTATTGGATATCCCCCTGATCAAAAAGGGTACGTGTGTTACCATCCACCAACTCATCGTGTCTACACCTCTCGAGAGGTTAAATTCCATGAAGAACTCTGTTACTTTGGCGATCATGATTGGCACAACTTGGACAATCTTGTGCGCCAAGGCACTGATTCCAACAACACTTTGGAACATCTTCACACCACTCTTCGCAACCTGGGCATGCAAGTTCCTGATGCTATTTCGTCATTTTCTCCGACACATGTCATGCCACCTCCTCGCCATGTGCCAGTTGTTCTCCAAGATGATGGTAACGTGGCTGATCATTCTTCTCCATTGGATCCTATTATTATTTCTTCTAACAATGCAGGTTCATCCGGATCTCAAGGCGTGGAGTAGCCACACATTCACAGTGAGAGGGACGATGTTTCTTCTTCCCCAAGTCTCACCAATTGTCCAACATCCGACACTCGCTTGTTTCAGCAAATTTCGGCGGAACAGATTCCACCGACTCTGGTCACAACTCTTGATGTCCCAGATTCCATCGTCCTCCGACGAAGTTCTCGGACAAAAAAAACCGACCTGGAAGATTACAGATAACACTTCTCGATCTCACTTGGCTGTTGATAAGATTACAGATAACGCTTCTCGATCTCACTTGGCTGTTGTCTATCCTATTGAGCATTTCACTACTACTTCTTCATATCCTACATTAGACCGTGCCTTTTTTAGTAAGATTTTGCAGATACAGGAACCACACACGTACAACCAAGCCAGAGATATTAAGGTTTGGCAACAAGCGATGTGTGAAGAAATTGAGGCCCTTGAACGTAACGGTACTTGGTCCATCACCGATCTTCCTGCCGACAAACATGCCGTTGGTTGTAAGTGGGTGTACAAAATCAAGTACCGCAGTGATGGGGAGATTGAGCGCTACAAAGCACGTTTGGTTGCTAAAGGATATACCCAAACTTATGGAGAGGATTATACTGAAACATTTGCCCCGGTCGCCAAGTTACCCACTGTACGTATTGTTTTATCTTTAGCGATTAACCTTGATTGGGAACTTTGGCAGATGGATGTCAAGAACGCTTTTCTACAAGGCGATCTATCTGAGGAGATCTTTATGATGCCGCCACCGGGATACACTAAAGCGATAAACCCGGGGCAAGTCTGCAAGCTTCATAAAGCAATCTATGGACTTAAACAATCTCCGAGAGCCTGGTATTCTCGCCTCTTTGTCGCTCTCACGGAAAAAGGTTTTACACGAAGTGACACTGATCACTCGCTCTTCATTTCACATACACCACGTGGTATCGTTGTTGTTCTGGTATACGTTGATGATATAATCCTAGCTGGTACTGATAAACACTGCATCGCAGAAACTAAGCTTTATCTTGGTTCGGTATTTGATATTAAAGATCTCGGTATTTTAAAATACTTTCTTGGAATTGAAGTTACCCGTGCTACTAACCATTTATTCCTTTGTCAGCGAAAGTATACTTTAGACCTTCTGCGGGATACAGGAAAGCTGGCTGCGAAGCCTGTACGCACACCACTTGAAGAGCATTTCAAGGATCAACGCGAGGGGGAATTACTGGAGGATCCGGAACAATATCGACGCGTTGTAGGTAAGCTCATATACCTTACCATCACTCGCCCTGATATTAGTTTTGCCGTGCACCAGGTCAGCCAATGGATGCATTCTCCAACAAGCAAACACTGGCAAATGGTGGATCGCATTCTCAAATACTTGAAAGGAACACCGGATAAAGGAGTTTTGATGACAAAGAACGATCACACGAGGATAGTCGCCTATTGTGATGCTGACTGGGCTGGAGACAGGACGGATCGGAAGTCTACGACGGGGTACTGCACATTTGTTGGAGGGAACTTAGTAACATGGAAAAGCAAAAAAAGACTGTCGTAGCAAGATCAAGTGCAGAGGCTGAATACAGAGCTATGGCGAATACTACGAGCGAAGTTTTATGGATAAGACAACTACTCAAAGATCTTGGAGTGCAAACGGAGGAACCAACACCTCTCCATTGCGACAATCAAGCCGCACTACACATAGCAGCAAACTCGGTGTTCCATGAACGCACAAAGCACATCGAAGTCGACTGTCACTTTATCCGAGAGAAGATCACTCAAGGGTTGCTAGCACCAAGATACACACGAAGTCAAGATCAACTCGCTGACATCCTTACCAAGGCCACAAGCTCACACGTACTCACTACGATTCTCTCCAAGATTGGCCTTCATGAATATCACCGGCCAATCTTGAGGGGGAATGTTGAAGACTCTGATACAACATACGAGGATGAAGCGATAGAAGACCAGATTTGGAAGCTGAACAAAAACAGAGCCGAAGATGACCAGAAGCTGAACAAGGACAGATTGCGAGAGAATCCAGCTGAATATCAATCTGTGCCGATGCGTATCACTGACACATTCAGATTGGCTCCACTCACGACAGATAAGGCATGATCTAATATATTCATCAGATTATTGGGAGACAATTAACATGCAGAATCAAGCACATTTCCTTTCTTATATTTGGTAATTTCAAGTTACCTTAAACATATTGTATTGCTTTCCTTTTCTTCTACGTATGTATAGTCTATAAGAAACAAATCCTCTGTATATTCATAGGTAAGGGAATAAAGTGAATTGGTTTTTCTTATTCACCCCCTAAAGAACCCTAATTTGTCCTTCTCTACAGAACTTCCATTTCGTCTCTGTTACAATCTATCACCTTCCCAATAACAACAGTCTGTGCTCATGTCCCATGAATCTGTCCTGAGCTGAGAACTGCTGTTGGTGAAACCGGAGGCTTGACTGCAGAAGAAGTTGAAACTCAAAGGGTTGATCTCGAACGAGTTCTTGAACCGAAGCAAAGCCATGGCTTGTTCTGGATTGCATGTCTGTGATGTTGTGGGACTGAAACATGAGAAAGCGACGAAGAAGAAGAGCCAGACCATCTTTCTCTCGGTGTTTATTCTTTCAGACAAGTGATCTTATATGCATTTAATACCTATCTTTATAGACTCTTAATATATATATATATGGACACAAACCAGAAATTATGATGGGAGATTATGGAAAATTCGATGGACCATTCGAAGATGGAAAACTTTATGTCACATTCTGATTGGTAAAAAGATTGTGGAATTTTATTATGGGACACAAGATTCTGCCACGAAGAGAACAGGTGTTGACTTGACTTTGAAAAACTTGTCCTTGGGCTTGGACATTCAATTCCTATGACGTAGAAATCTATATCATATATATAGTAAATATCATAAATGTGAATTAAAAAATATTACAGATTAAAAAAAAGAAATTACATAATCAAATTAATGTTTGAATGAGAATGAGGAATATTATAGTGATAACAAAAAAATTAGATAATCCCAACAATATATAGTAATAATTTTATTCATTTTAAAAATACGAATTATATATTTATCATAATTTATTATTTTTGAAATAATTAATATTTCATGAATATTGCATTGACAGTTTTATCCTCGAAGTTGTTTTTATGATTCTCGATTGAACTGTTCCATTTTTATGATTTTGAAATAATTAATATTTCATGGATACAAAAATATATATTATTAAACCAAAATCAATTGCAACAAACCGAACCCTACCTTACCGTACCGTGAGAACCGGGCTAAGCAAACAAAGGACCGAAACAACGTGCATCGTAGTGGCTAAGATTTGAATTCCAAAACTACCCTTAGTTTCCGAACGTATTTCCGAGTATCCCATCTTAAGACCAAAACCCTTCATTTTCTTTTCCCCCCTCGCGATTTCCTCTCGCCCCGCTAATTCTCCGCCGCCGAGCTCCGACCGTCGTCGCCGATATCCGGTGAGTAGTTTAGCTTGTTCCTCTTCCCTTATTTGCTCCCTTTTCTTTCGATCGGTGAAACATTAAAAGCTGTGTCGATTTCGATGTTCATTTTCAAGGATTTGAGTGTATGGGATCATGGGTCTTTGTTATCTAGGATAAGAATATGGTTAAATTTTGATTGTTAGCGTGTTTCTGTGTATCAATGGAGTACAAAAATGATTCCTTTGTGTCTGTCTTTCAGTTGGGTTCACTGATTCGATTGTGTAGTGATGGTGTCTTAGATAAATTTCTGGACTTTTCTCCGAACCTCTGGTCTGACCCTTGTGTTTGAATAATGCCGATCTGTCCATCATTCTGTCTTATTTTTTCTCACTCGAGTCACTGCTCAAGCCAAAGGTGTTTGCTTCTTTGCGTGTCCTTTAGTCAATGCTCTAGAGCAAATTGTTATCTTAGATTGTTTTTTCCCTGTCATGTTACTTAAATCAACTAAAAGGAACCATTTTTCTGGCTGAAGTAGTTGAATGAAGCATGTTAGCGATGGTGGACTTGGTTGGATTCTGTCGAGATTTTCATCCTATGGCTAATAGTCACATTCTCCGTGCATCTTGCTTGACACATCAGAATTGCGATCTTTTTTTGTTCAGTGGAAATTGGTGATCAGATGGTTCTAGGGTTCTGAAAGTTCCGTTCTTTATAGTGTTGAGTCCTATGTAGTTGGAGTACTAGGAGTGTGTAGAATCATATAGGAATTGCGGTCCTTTGGTTAATTCTGTCTATGGAAAGTGGAAACAAGTCGGAATGAATATTTTACTATAACAAGACATTTTAGATTTGTTCCCTTTTCCAAGGGCTGTTTTAAATCATTTCCCTTGTGTAGCGGTGGTAGTTTCAATGGCTGAGCAGTCGCCAGAGAATATTCCGGTTCCCGTGAAGGAGGTGGAGGCTCTTAATGTAAACGCACCCAATCAAGCATCTTCCTCGGTCGCTGGAGTCCAGTGAGTTCTCTTGTCGCTGTTCCTTTTAGTCTCCCCGTTATTTGGTTACACATTATTTGATTGGAGAGATGGTTTGAAGTTGGGTTTCACATGCATTGTTCTCATTGTCACTTACAACAGAGTTGCATTGGAATGGGTTAGTACTCAATTGATTGTGGGTAGAAAAACAGAAAAAAGTTGTGGATTTGAGTTTAATTTCTTCCAATTTTCAACATGTAATAGATCTATGATTTGCTACTGTCATTTGCACTTGTCAGTTTATCGGATTGAGTGACTTATTGAACCAGGATAAGCGAGGAGGAGATTGAGAAGAGATTCCAGATTTTGAGGAGTGTTGGGGAGGAATGCATACAAGAGGATGAATTGAGGAATCTTCTCACCAAGAAGGTTGCTCCGATTTGCTATGATGGTTTTGAACCCTCGGGAAGGATGCATATTGCACAGGTCAGTTATCTTTTGGATGTGATAGTCTGATCCCGCTTTGTGATTCCAAGGGGCTTTAAGTTTTATAAGATAGTTACTAATTTCAGTGATAAAAGAAGGAAGAGATATTTAATTATTTAATCAAACCTGTATATGCCGTCCGCCATATTAGGAACTTCACAGTTAATGAGGTTCACTCCTTTAAAAAGTTGTTTGTAAAACATTTTGAAGGATACAAAGAGAATCGCAAGAAGATGGTATAGCTTATCGGGGGATTGATGAGTGTTTTTACTTGTATTTATTTTTTAGATACAATTAATTGGAACAAAGGATTACTGCTGGCGACTGAAGATTTTTCTTATGTTTTGAGCTTATTTTGGCACATATTCTCCCTGCGTGTGTAGTCAGTCTATCCTACTTTTGACTGAATTACATTGTTTTGTGTGAGAGGTCTGTTAAATGTGTCTTGTTGTGTTATTTTGTAACAGGGAGTGATGAAGGTCATCAATGTGAACAAATTGACGTCAGCTGGTTGCCGGGTGAAAATTTGGATTGCTGATTGGTTTGCACAGTTGAACAACAAAATGGGAGGTGACTTGAAGAAAATCAAAGTTGTTGGAGAATACTTCAAGGAGATATGGCAGGCTGCTGGGATGAACAATGACAAGGTGGAGTTTCTGTGGTCTTCTGATGAAATCAATGCTAGGGCAGATAAGTACTGGCCTCTTGTGATGGACATTGCACGCAGAAACAAGCTCCCTCGCATCTTAAGGTATTTTATTGAAAATTTCGATTCATTCATTCAGCTCTAAAACAAGAATTGCAGGCTTAAATTAAATTTTTGTGCATCTTTGTAGGTGTGTGCAGATCATGGGGCGTAGTGAGACAGACGAGCTGAGTGCTGCCCAGATTCTTTACCCATGTATGCAGTGTGCGGATATTTTTTTCCTCGAGGTGCTTCTAATATTTACATAGTTTGGATATATTTGTCATATGATAATGCTTGGCTAGCATTTTAAAGTCCATCCTTAACAGTCACATCTAATGGCATTCTAATGCACATATCCTTGGATCCAAGATTTTAGTTTAACTTCAGCAAAAACTCTATAAGTTAAGTCACGGGTTCAGAACTCATTCGAAAGAATTGTCCTTGTTGTTTGTACGGGAATTGGTTCATTGTTGAAAAACACCTGATGAATGCTCCATGGCTGGGACAAACGTCATATGTGTGTATATATACACACACAAGATTGTCACTGTGTAGTCGAAATTTAACTCAATGGATGTAACATTGCCTTTTCTTGATTATGTGCATCTGCCTTTTCACGTCATGCCAATGATTGCTCCTGAAACTTCTTGTTTTACTCGTGCAGGCTGATATTTGCCAACTAGGAATGGATCAACGGAAAGTAAATGTGCTAGCAAGAGAGTACTGTGACGATATAAAGAGGAAAAACAAACCCATCATCTTGTCCCATCGTATGTTCCGTCTCTTCTGTTATATTTCTGGTCCACCATATTCCTCAAGGCATTTTTATCATCTTTCAGCTGTAATGGCTTGCAGATATGCTTCCTGGTCTTCAACAAGGGCAAGAAAAGATGTCCAAAAGTGATCCCTTGTCTGCCATTTTTATGGAAGATGAGGAGGTGAAGTGGCTAGTCATTCATCACTAAGAACGAGTAGGAGGGCAGTTTTATACTTTCAAAGAATTTAATGTCCTTTTTCCTGCAGGCGGAAGTTAATCTGAAGATCAAGAAAGCGTATTGCCCTCCAAAAATCGTGAAGGATAATCCATGCCTTGAATACGTGAAATATGTCGTACTGGAATGGTTTCACGAGTTCACGGTTGAGCGAAATGAAAAGAACGGTGGTAACAAGTAAGTGAACTAAATATCCTTAATAGTTGACCATTTGACAATGAATTTGCTAATCTCTTCCTGCTGTGATTTTCGGCTCAACCTCAGGAGCTACACAAATTTTGAAGACATTGTTACTGACTACGAGAGCGGGGACTTGCACCCTGGCGATCTGAAACCAGCCCTGTCGAAATCTCTGAATAAGATACTGCAAGTAAGTCCTACTGATCATTTCAAAAAGTGAGAGCCTTTTCTATATCCATATTTCAGTGTGGGAATGATTTGTTACCTTCCCGTATTTGCTTCAGCCTGTCCGGGATCATTTCAAGAACAACGAACGTGCCAAGAATCTGCTCAAACAGGTTAAGGTAATGAACCTCGTCTCTCACAGCACGATTTTATCCATGCCTGGCGGTAAATTCGTTGCGAAAAGCCTCTGATTTTGTTTCGGTTTTTATCACATGTTCGTTCTTGTAGGCATACAGAGTTACCAGGTAAACACACAGACTGAGAAGAAGTATGTCTTGTGTCTATGCCCTGCTTTTGTAGAATTTGGTTTGGAACCTCTCTCTCCCTCTCACTAAGAAACTTATTTTGTTCCCAGACTTGGGGAGTAGTTCTTGAATTTCCGTATTTGATATGAGAATCTTGAGGAAAAAGGAGACTTTGCAGAGATTGTTTAGAGAGAATATTGAATGAATGTCTTAGTCCTAAAGAAAACTCGGTTTACCAAATCAACCGGTTTGATTCATCTTCAATAATAGCTTTTTTCAAAGTGATCTAAGAAATTTTTGTTCTGATCTGGTTCATCTTCGATTCAAAACTTAGAACCAAATGAACACGAACTTAAATTTGGTTCCATTTGGTTTTATAAGTGGAATTGACAGAATCTGAACCGGTAGCCGGTTATGGGTAAACCGATTTCCAGTGAGGAAGAGATGCTAAATCAACTTCGAGAGAAGCATGATAATATAAAACCATCATGAGGTTCATTAGTACAAATCCCCACATAAACACAAACAAGATGGCAAGCAGCCATATTACATAAGATCTAGTTTCCTACCAGTTCCATCACATAATCTCACAATAGCTTCTTTCATCTCCAACCATTGCCTCTCATTTCTGCCCTTTCTTCCTCCAAAGATCACCCAATTTCTTGATCCCTGAACCTTTCCTCTTCCCACTCCCAAACCCATCATCTGAATCCTCAGCCATTCCGGGCGACCCCACGAACCCTCCCGCCTCGAATAACCCGCCTGTCAAATGCTTCTCCATCGATCCACACCTCTCTGAAACCCGACCGTTCATCTCTACTCCCCCTGCAAGGACCGCTGCAGCAGCATCTGCAGCTTTCCTCCATTGCTCGGTCTGTACCCTCAGCTTCTTCATCTCTGTTTCCAGCTCCTCTTTCGCTTCTTCCGTTGATTCGAGCTTCTCCTTCAGCTGAGCTGCATTTGCTTGGGTTTCTTCGAGTTCTTTCCCTATCTGGTTCATCTTCGAAGCCATTTCCTCTTCCTTGGCCTTGACGTTGCTCATTTCTGAAGCCGTGTCATTCAGCTGATTCTTCAAGTCCTCATTCTCTTTTCCGAGTGATTCCCGCTCTTTCTCGATGTCATACAGTTTGGCTTTCAACGTGTTTATTTCCTCCTCCTTCGAAGCCGATTCATCAGGCTTTGGCTTCTCGACCTCTCTTGCTTCATTCTCTTGATCAGTTTTGGGTTCGATAGTGATCTTCTCGACTGGAACCTCGAATACATCTGTCTCTGGCTGGGCATCTCCAGGAACTTCATCTCTGTCAGTGGTCTTAGACCCAGGTACCGGTCCCTCCACCCGAGCAACGTTGTTTGGTTTCTTGACTTTCTTCTGAAGCTCCTCTTGAGCCTGCTTCTTGGCAGCCTCGGCCGTGGCCAGCTGCTCTTTCAGCACTCTCAGCTCGTCCTGTGCTTGTCCCAGCTGAGATTCTAGATCAGCAATGCGGGTTCCGAGTTTCTTCTGGTTCAGTGGATCAGAGTGAGGCCCACCACTCCTCGGAGATCTACGGTCCAGACCGAGCTTCGGACTCCGGTCTGTGATTGGACGGTGGTGATGGTGCGGCGGGTGATTGTCCGAATCAGAAGCAGCAGCTGATGTCCTCAGCCTGGGAGATTGCCTCTGGGGCAACTCTGAACCTCTGTTCCGCCAGTAACAAAGCCACATTAGCTCCCATCTCACATTATCCATCAGACACCAAAAAGTTCATACCTTTATAGTTGATTAATCACTCTAATCTCCATCATCACCAACAACGCTTTCAAGAATCCGGAGTGGAAAACAGTCTCAGCAAAAGCAAATATGCATGTATAGGAAGCTTACCTTGATCTTGGCATTCTGATTTCTGCAGAAGATTCAAGAAGAGATGAGAAAGTTGTTGGAGCCTGAAGGTTGTGATCTGATGAAATTCGGACACTGTCAGTGTTGGACACGTACATACATTACATTACATTTGCGCGTTTGTAGTTACATAAGTGAAATTTCAAGCTTGGAAGCAGATTGGCATATTATGACAGAGAAGATAAGCTAAGAGAAGGGTATTTTTGTTATTTAAGGAGCTCAAGCTCATTGGAGTTGGAGCTTGAGTTTATTTACAGCAACTACTGGGGAAAAACTCATGTCGGGGAACTCCAGGAAACGTAGAAGAAGAATAGCCCACGCGCCACACAAACGCGCGCGTGTCTTAAGAAAAAGATTGACTTGTGTAGCTAAAGACGGAGAACACAAAGCAATGAAAAACCCATTTGCAGATGTCAGACAAAAATCTTCAAGATTCTGCTAAAACAAGAGAAGAAAAAAAAAAGACAATCCCCAAGAACATGAAAGAGAAAATCCAGACTCTACATTACTGACTCCAAAGAAAGAGTTCATCTTCCTGACACCAGAGAATGAATCAAAGAGAGACATTACTGGGCAACAGACAATGGGATTTCAAAGAAAAAAATCTTCTTTTACATTTTGTTCCCACTTTCTGGGCAGCCAAACAAGCTGATGATGAGTATCCAGTGACAGTAAGAAGCAAAGATTGAAACTTACCTCGAAAAGACGAAGGAAATCTGGAAATTTGGATTAGTTTTCTCCGCAGAGATTGAATCCAGGCAGTGATTGAGATGATAGTCTATGTGAGTGGTCAAAGCGGGTGATGAGAAGAAATCTTCTCTTTGTATGGATTTGGATAATAGGAACAAGAACACTAAAAAAGAAGACCCAAATGTGGAGAAAAGAGAAAGATTGTAGCTTTTGTTGTTCTTGGAGAGAGAGAGAGAGAGAGAGAGAGAGAGAGAGAGAGAGAGAGTATTGTAATTTGTAATGTAGTGCAATGCATGAACCTTTTAAAATAGACAGCTTTATGTCTAGGCACTCACAACCCAAGAAGCAGAGAGAGAGAGAGAGAGAGAGAGAGAGAGAGAGAGAGAGAGAGAGGGGGGGCTTTGAAGATTTGAAATAAAGCTGGTGAAATGGGGACCTAGAGGGACCATCTCTATAGGAAATGGACAAAAAGGTAATTTCCGGGCTTGGAATAAGGTCCACATATACATATAATATGACTATGATTTTCACCCTTTTATTGTATAATCTTCAAATTGTTTTACCATTTTATTTGATTTTTAGGATGTTGACTGTGTTAGTATGAAAGCCATATTTAAGGACTAGTTCAATTTAATTTGGACCGGTTTGGTTGTGAAACTAAATGCAATTTTGTTAGAATTTGTTATTTAATGATCCAATGTAGCACAACTAGATATGATCTATATTATTTCATGGCTCAAGTGTATACTTACTAATATGAATATCTACATAATTCAGAAAAATTTTCATTTATTTTCTCATATAAGAATTTATAATAATCAATTAAATGCACGCATTTATAGTATGGTGATTCAAAAATATAACTTGGTGATATCAAACAGTCTCTATTTAAATATGATGCAATTATTGCCAAATCCATGGTATAACTCTAGATATATATTTTGGATTTTAGTATGGTTTGATTATTTTAAATTTGAATTTTTTATTATAAAATCATATATATATATATATATATATATTCATTTTTTATTTTTATGATGAATTTATTTAATTTTTATTTTTACTGATATTTTTTTTAAAACCTGATATTTTCATTATTTTATATTAAATTTAGTTTTGATTAATTTAATTAACATTATATCTGATTAATTTTTAAATACCATTATTTATTATTTGATTGGTAATTTCTATAGAAATATCAGTCCATCTACTTGTGGACATTATGTGTATTTATATGATTTTTGTTTTCTGCATGTGTGTTTACATTTTTTTATGTGCATACTGACACCTTTAAGTACATAAAAAAAATTGTGTATATATTATATAAATACGCACACATGCTTGTATCTAAATATCAATAATATCTGACATCTTTTTTTTTTCTCTTCTGTCGGTTTCCACAAAGTTCAAACCTTTTTTTTTAATTTTTATTTCCCATTCCAACGTTCTTTTTCAAATTTTTTTATTACCCAAAATGACAATTAAAAACTATTTTTCTAAAAGTACGCTAGTGCCGAATTTAAGTCGAGCAATAGATATTTGAATTTCATAACCAGTATATATAATTTTAAATAAAAATATATATATATATTAGAAGTCTAAGAATTATACCAGCATATTATTTAGTTAATAACCTTAAATTTGTCGTTTTCATTTTTTTGATTTGTGGTGTTTTTAGATATAGTTTCTATCAAGGTTATTTAAAACTAATGAAAAATAAGAAATTATAGATGTCCTTTTTTTGATAGAATTCTGTGCGACGATGTGTATTTGCAGTTGGAATAATACATTCAAGAGTAACATTATTAAATAATTTAGTGGTCATATAACAAGTAGTTGATATGTTTTTTCATTTTCTGAAATTAATGTGAGAACACCCATAATACGACAATTTCATATGTAAAATTAATGTGCATGGGCCCTCCATATAATTTTATAGATAAGACCAATCCGCCTATTTAATTATTGATTTCGTTTCATTATTGGATTATTTTGGACTAATGTTTTTTTTTGTCAACGTCATTAGTCACTAAGCAGCTTTAACTCCGCTCCAATAATTGATAATGGATCATTTTGTGAATGTATGTTATTGCAAATTAAAATTCAATGTTCATAACAACATGTAGACTAAACCCAAAAAAAAAATACCATATTACTTCTATAGTATTTAGTTACCATATATTAAGATAAACCTTATAAATATATATATACACACACATATAAGTGATGTTGAATTGAGAAAATAACCAAATTTTTAAATAACCAAAAAAAAACAAAGACAGAGAAGAGTCAACAGAGACAAAGGCATGTGATGTGATGTGAGGATTACAACTGAAAGTCCCAAACTTTCAACTTGATCTCTCTTTCATTAACTACCAAAAGAGACACAAACATGTGAGACATGAAGGCTTTCATCTCTTTGTCCTTTTTTTTCTTTTTGACAGCTTCCTCACCTTCTTCTTCTCTATCCGGTGAGGGCGGACGCGGGCGGCGGGTACCTAACCCGACCTCAATCCCGATCTTGTTTCTTCGGAATCTCGATCTCGGCTTTGTTAGGGATACATACCCGAGTTTTGAATACCCGCGAGTTGTGGTGAGAGTCGACGAGTAGCGACAGGCGAGAGAGGAAAGAATGAGAAGAGAAGAGTCGGAGGAATCAAGTATACCAGGTTGGGAAGCATGGCTAGCGAGCATGCTTGTCGTAGGATGAATGGCGAGCGAGGCAAAATCGCTCTCGATCGGCTTCTAAGCTCGCTCCCGACTCTCGAAATCAAACTCTCAAAACCCTGATTTGGGGTTAAAATCAAATAAATGACAGAATATACCCCTGATACCGATGAAACCCTAAAAGCTATGCATCTTTGCCCCTCGCCCGTCGCCTCCCCTCGTCCCTGGCCATCGACTAGCACACTCTCCCGGTCTCCCCCTCTTCTGGGTTACCCACAGGTTCGAGTTTTTCTCGGATGGAACCTTTAACCCGAAGCTCGGGTTTCTAGAGACGGAGGTCGGGTATCAAATGGGTATAGAAAGTGTGTTTCAAGAAGACAAGACAACCACCCCCAAGAACCGTTAGAGATGTTAATATAAGGAACACAGTTACGCAACTGACCGAGAAACCGACCTTTCTATTACACTACAAATCTTCTGTGTTCTCCTATCGAACATATATATATATATGAATCGATCATAACCATCACTGCTGCCCTCTTTTCGATCCTTAAACTAACAATCTCAATCACCCATTTCCGAATAAAGATGGCAATGACTGTATCTTAACTCTATTACCTCTGCATCATCATCTCATCGCCATGCGACTCCTGTCGGTAAGCTTGCGTGGCATGAACCTCTGCAAGAGACACCGCCATGGCCAACATCATCTGCTCCTCAAAACTCTCCGGAACAATTAATGGAGGTGGAAGATTCTGGAATCTTTCTGAAGCCTCCCTGGAAATCTCACTGGCACTATCTTCGTCGGTCATGTCAGAGCCTGTTGCATGGCTCATTCCTGCCTCGCCCACATTCACCGATCCATGAACTGTTTCCTCGTCGTTGAGGTAAGTGTTATCACCCACCTCTTGGTTTACCACTACGTTATTGTAATAGCCGGTACAAATGCTTGGAAGCATGTTGTACGAGGAAGCATTCATGTTTTGGATATCGTTCCTGGAGGATTCACCAACCATTCGCCGGTTTTCAGCCATGGCTGCGACAACGCAGGCCATCCCGGCAGATGGAGATGGAGACGAATACGAGGGCAACGATGATCTTATAACAGGCGCCATAGATGGTGAAACATAATGATCTTCTTCTGCTACATACTGTCCAGAAGAGGTGATCTCCCCACATGTATTATTTCTGTGCATGCCGTTTTCCTGTAATGACAATATCTAGAATCAGAGAATGGAAAAAAACTAGCTTAAACCAAAGTTCATAGCACGAAATACATCCATACGTACACACACGATATTCTTCAGCTTGTCCGACTCATACGATACAGTGGCAAAACTGCCTATGATTTACCATTCAATTACTAATAAACGCTCGAATCGATCTGATTACTGGTAATTATTCCACACAAGTACATATAATTATAACAGAACCTCTGTTTAAAATGACGCACAAATGAGAGAGACGAGCACTGCTTGGACCAAATAACATTTCCTAGGACTAAGTTCCACAGTCCTAACCATGAGGAAACCTAGTTTATGAGATGAGAATGTTACCTGGATGGAGAGCCATATTGCTTCCATGACCATTAAGTCCTCAATATCAACATCAAACTCATCATTCCTGCAATGGAAGCTTTCATATACCAAATAAGTAATCATTAGTTACCTCACATGAATCTCTCAGATAATCATATTCTGATTTTCTAAGATACGAAGTAATAACAGAACCAATTTCTAACGCCAGATTGTGTCTAAAGCGTACACAGTGGAAAGAATAAACCTTGAAACATAGTTACCAGCTAAATCTAAGAAAGTTTTCGGGGAGGATTCAAGCTTCAAACCATCGCTTACTAAAAAAAGAACACAAAGGGAAGTGACCGAAATACGGACAGAATAACACCCATTGAAAGACAGACCTGTTTCCCAGAAGACATGGTGGTTGTCTATCTGTTGATGCGACACATGCATCCTGATCCTCCGCAGGAGAATTATATGATTGAGCTGTGGACCGTGAAGAACAAGGGGAAACAAATCAAGATGACTCCATCCATTTGCTTTCTGGTTCTGATGGAAAATTTAACATATGCTGGCAGACAGAACTGACCTGAAGCTGAACCATACTCCATCTCAGCGGTCACTGCACTCGTGCTGGAAGAACATGATTCCAGTCGTTTTTGCATTCTTTCTTCTTCATCTTGAAGTTCCTTCTGTCTCATCCTAATTTGAGCTTCTATAACCTGCTGCTCTTCCTGCAGGATAAGCAGATGGAAATCAAGAAAGGCATCAAGCACAGATATGATCAGTAAATAATCCATATCGTACGTCAAGAAAAGCTTCAGCTAAGATGTAATCCTAGCTTACAATTTGTTCCATGCCTTTTTCCTCCTTTGTCTTTACTCCCCGGTACTCAACAGCATAATTGGATGTTTTACAGAAAGGGCACCTCATCAAGTTAAAGAGGAAACAGAGTCCAAGAGAAGGAGCTATCGAATCAAATACAAAACTTTCCAATTGGCATTCAGAATTGAGAAGAAACCAAAAACTTCAAATACAATATATACGGTGAGAGCAAGGATACTGAGTAGGGCGGGCGGAACAAGGATTCTTCATCTGCAAAAAACACTCTACCAAACAAGCCAAGTCAAATGACAAGAAACATAAAATAGGTTAGAATTCTAAAGTTGCAGAGGGGCTAATGGGAATTACCTGTACAAATGCTCTTCATGCAACATCTCGACCTATTGAGGCTCGGATAGTACTGAAAACACAACAAGAAAAAAAAACGCAGCTTTAGTTATTCGAGAAAGAAAAGTTGATGGTTACACTACAAAACCTTTCATGACGAAACTATACGTTCACATTGCATATTACATAATAATTAACCATCCAGACAATAACATGTACAGTTATGCAAGCAAAACCTTCATATTATGAGTCACTGAAATCCAAATTTTCACCATTTCTGATTTTTTTTCCAGAAACTTACGGACAATCCAAATAGGAGACTATGATCTTATAGCAAACGATGGGAGAAACTTGATTCGTTCGTAGAAACCAACAACAAGAATACGAACCAGGAAGCAAATTGGACATTCTTCGAGATCATGGAAACTCTCCTCATCCCCAGGATAGCACGGAGCAAGCTTAGACTCTAAAATCAGTTTCCTGAGCTTTTTAATGTCGACATCTTTATTATACAACCCTTGTGGCCTCGTATACCTCTCATCGACCACTTGCCTCTTCCTCCCGAGCTTATTACCCATCTAAATTCTTCAAAATATGATACACCTTTATGCCCCTCTAATCTATGTGCTAATTCTCCAAGTTCTTAAGAGCAGAGATATGTATCACACGGGCATTAACAATGACAGTGAATGCTTTCTGTGATTTCCAAGTCTTGGAAACGACAGTAACTCCAACACATTCGCCCAAAAACATATGAAGAAACGAATGAAGAGTATCGAATTCTGAAAAACCTATTCTTCTTTAAGACAAAGGTACAAGCTTTGAATTGGTAACAGTCTTTGGCATAAGAAACTTCAACCTGCGAGGAAAAAACAAACACAAAAAATTCAATTCAAGCGCGCAATTCGTGCTCATAGAATCCAAAATGCTCTTCAAAATCCAGAACTAACAGGATTTGGTAAAAAAACTAGAACCCTAATCAGCATGTAAAACCCCTAACTCTGAGCCCAGTTGGATACAATTTAGGGCAGTTTCACAAACCATGGGTAGCCATTGACAGACCTCGCTGCAATAAGAAACGAATTACACGGAGCAGGGAATAAAAACCCAGAAATTATACAAAGAAAAGGGACAGAATTTCCGGAGAAGAAACCTGAAAATTCGAGAAAATGCAGAGGGAACCGTGAACAGACTGGAAGCGGAAGAAAACAAGGAACAAGATCGAAGGGTTTGGATAACGATAAAAAACAAGATCAGAATTTTGCTCGAGAGAGAGAGAGTGGTGTGGTCTGCGAGTACGTGAATATATGTTTGTATATATTCAGAGACAGAGGAGAGAAGTCTGTATCTGAACTTGTATTTTCTGTTTGGAAACTCTTTTTCCCGAGAAAAAAAATTCTTTTTTTTAACAGGAATCCGAGAGAGAGAGAGAGAGAGAGAGAGAGAGAGAGAGAGAGAGAGAGAGAGAGACCTTGTTTTTACTCTTCCACTTCCTATCTGCCATTTCCTTTATTTTATTTTTATTTCAGTGAAATAGATAATTTCCTACATAATCACACCCCATTTTTTTTTAAAAAAGGGTTCATATATAAACAATGCCAACACATGATTTTGATCCTAAAACGTATAAAATAGTTAAAATGTTAAATTGAATGGCGACAAAAAAGCTGTTACTTGAATAATACTGAAAAAAAATATAAAAATCTGTTATGAATCTGAAATTTTTTTTACGAGGTGTATATTTTGAACTCTTTTACTCTTTTAGATGATGATATTATTTTAACTAATAAAAAAAGATGATCATATGATATCAGTAATATAAAATGAAAACAATTAAATAAAGTAACCATCGGATAAAACGACGTCGTGCCGTTCTGTTTGGTCTGTTAACCAAAACCTAGGAACATACGTACGAAGTCCAACAGTTTTGTCCTAGCCTTAGCAGTTCATGTTTTTATTTTCCTTTTAAGTTAGAATATTTGTTTGATCCAAATTTATATCATAACTATTTCAATTTAATTAATTAGCAGGGATATGCATAAAATATATATGTTTTACTTAATTAGTATCTCATGAGTAGAAATCAAATATAATGAAAGATTAATCAACGCATGATATGGAATTTTATTTCCTAAAAATAATTTAAACTAATTAATTTTCATCAACACCCTAAACTCAAATTTGCGAATATATATGTACCAGATTTAATCGTGATATATATAGCTATTTAATGCAACGAGTTTATGTGCATATATATGATTTCGAGGTCATAGATGAAAAAAAAAGGGATAAACTAATTAGATATATACATATACCAACACGTATATATAGAAAATCAAAAATCAAAATACACAAAATTCAAAATTATACGGATTATAATGACAATCAATCATCTGACCATGATTTATACAACTCATCGATCAGCGGCAACTCCCTGAAAAATCTATCCAACTCCGTCACTCCTCCTCCGCCGCCGCCGCCTTTAGATCTCTTTGTGTGGGTAAGACCGTTGTTGCCGCCGCCACCACGAGCATCGCCGGAGGAGTAATCGGACGGATCTCCGGCGACGGTGGCATCTTTTCCGGTGAGGTTTTGCACGACCGACTTGAAACTCCGAGCATCTGTTTCGACGTATTGAGTGTTTATGAACACTACCTTCATCGGCTCTGATTTCACTTCCCTTCTTCCCGACATGATCGATCTATAATTATCCAAAACAAAAATTATTTATAATAAATAAATATTCCGAGCTTTTTGGCGATTGATTTGGGGGTCTCCAATGCTGATGCATGCATATTTATACGTGAAAAAAATGTATGTTCGTACGTGTATATATATATATATATATATATATATCGAGCAAATCAAGCGTCGTGGACCTACAAGAATTAAAAGACGAAGACCAAGTTTTTTTCTTTTGTTGCATGTATATTTATTTTAATATAATGTAATATATATTGTCAAAAAAAAATTGAAACCATTTGTTATTATAGGAAGTCAAAAGCAGTTTTTCGTTGATTTCTAGAACAAAATCTACATTTTTTCAAATTTAATTTGTTTGTAAGAAAATTTTATAAAGAATATGATTGAGAAATTTTGATGGTTGTTTAGTCTTTTTGGCTATATATATATATATATATATATATATATATATATATATACACTTTTGACGCTC